CTGGCTTCGGATCAGCGCGGTGTGCCGGCTGCAGCGCACCGGCCGCGGCGGCCATTGGAGGGTGAACCAACGGCAAAAGGAAGACCTTTCTCTCTGTCTCTCTCACTATCCACTCTGCCTGTCAAAAAAAAATAAAATAAAAAAATAAAAAATAAAGGCTATTTGTTTTTGTATGTTGAATTTAGATCCTGCCACTTTTCCAAACTCCTTTTATGAGTTTCAGTGGTCTTTTAGTGGAGTCTCTTGGATCTGCTATATATAGAATCATGTCATCTGCAAATAGGGATAGTTTGACTTCCTCCTTCCCAATTTGTATCCCTTTGATTTCTTCTTTTTTGCCTAATGGCTGTAGCTAAAATTTCCAGGACTATATTAAATAGCAGTGGTGAGAGTGGGCATCCTTGTCTGGTTTCGGATCTCGGTGGAATGTTTCCAGCTTTTCACAATTCAGTAGGACACTGGCCATGGGTTTATCATAAATTGCCTTGATTGTGTTGAGGAATGTTTCTTCTATACCCAATTTGGTTAAACTTTTCATCATGAAAGGATGTTGTATTTTATCAAATGCTTTCTCTGCATCTATTGCAATAATCATATGGTTTTTGCTGTTCATTTTCTTAATGTGATGTATCACATTGATTGATTTGTGAATGTTGAACCATCCCTGCATATCAGGGATAAATCCTACTTGGTCTGCGTGAATAATTTTTCTGATGTGTTGTTGGATTTGATTAGCTAGTATTTTGTTGAGAAGTTTTGCATATATGTTCATTAAGGAAATTGGTCTGTAGTTTTCTTTTTCTGTTATATCTTTTTCATATTTAGGAATTAAGGTAATACTGGCTTCATAGAAAGAATTTGAGATGATTCTCTCCCTTTCAATTGTTTTGAATAGCTTGAGAAGAATTGGAGTTAGTTCTTTTTTAATATCTGGTAGAATTCAGCAGTGAAGCCATTCAGTCCTGGGCTTTTCTTTCCTGGGAGGGCCTTTATTATTGGTCTGTTTAGGTTTTCTATGTCTTCATGGCTCAGTTTTGGTAGATTTTATGTGTCCAAGCATCTATCCATTTCTTCTAGGTTTCCTGATTCGTTGGCATACAGCTCTTTGTAGTAATTTCTGATGATTCTTTATATTTCTGTGATGCCTATTGTTACTTTTCCTTTTTCATCTCCAATTTTACTGATTTGGATCTTCTTCCTGTTTTTTCTATTAGTTGGGCCAATGATGTGTCAATTTTGTTTCTTTTTTTCCAAAAACCAGCTCTTCATTTTGCTGATATTTTGTATTTTTTTCAGTTTTGTTTATTCTCAAATTTTAATTGTTTCTTTTCCCCTGATAGTTTTTGATTTGGTTTGGGGGTATTTTTCTAGATCCTTGAGATGCATTGATAGCTCATTTATTTGGTGTCTTTCCAATTTCTTGATGTAGGCACCAACTGCTATAAACTTTCCTCTTAACACTGCTTTTGCTATCCCATAAGTTTTGATATATTATATTGATATTTTCATTTGTTTCCAGAAATTTTTTATTTCTCCTTTGGTTTCTTCTATGACCCACTGTGCATTCTGGAGCATGTTGGTCAGTTTCCATATGCTTGCATATGTGCTAGATATTCTTGAATTGTTGATTTCCAGCTTCATTCTATTGTGGTCTGAGAAGATGCCTGGTATGATTTTGATTTTATTGAATTTGCTGAAACTCGCTTTGTGGGCTAGCATGTGGTCTATTCTAGAGAAAGTTCCATGCACTGATGAGAAGAATGTGTATCCTGCAATTGTAGGATGAAAAGTGCTATATATATATCTGTTAGATCCATTTGGTCTGTAGTGTCAATTAACTCTGTTGTTTCCTTGCGGATTTGCTGTCTGGTTGATCTGTCCATTGCTGAAAGTGGGATATTGAAGTCCCCCATTACTATTGTATGAGAGTCTATATCTCCCTTTAGATCCATTAACATTTCTTTTAAATAGCCAGGTGCTCTGTAATTAGGTGCATATATGTTTATAATAGTCACATTTTCCTGTTGAATTGATCCCTTAATCATTACATAGTGCCCTTCTTTGTCTCATTTAACAGTTTTCATGTTAAGGTTTGTTTTTTCTGATGTTAGTATGACTATACCAGCTCTTCTTTGGTTTCTGTTAGCATGAAATATCTTTTTCCATCCTTTCACTTTCAGTCTGCATGTATCCTTTGTTGGTGAGATGTGTTTCTTGTAGGCAGCAAATAAATGGGTTTTGGTTTTTAATCCATTCAGCCAGCCAGTCTGTGTTTTTTAACTGGAGAGTTGAGGCCATTTACATTCAAGGTGATTATTGATAAGTAATGACTTACCCCTACCATTTTTCCATACATATTCCTATTTTTTACTTTGGATTTCCTTTGTACTTTTATTGAGAGATTTTCTGCCTTTACCTTCTTTCATAGTGATGACTATGTTTCTGTGTGTAGCACCTCCTTAAGCATCTTTTGGAAGGCTAGACAAGTGGGCAAATTCTTTCAATTGTGTTTGTTATGGAAGGTCTTTATTTCACCTTAATTCATAAATGAGAGCTTTTCAGGGTACAGTATTCTGAGTTGACAGTTTTTTTTCTCTTAAGAGTTGGACTATATCTTGCCATTTTCTCCTAGCCTGTAGAGTTTCTGATGAGAAGTCAACTGTGAGTCTAATTGGAGGTCCTCTGAAAGTAATCTGATGTTTCTCTCATGGACATTTTAGAATCTTTTCTTCTTGTTTTTGGAGAATTTGACTACAGTGTGTTATGGTGAAACTCTTTTCTGGTCATGTCTATTTGGGGTTCTTTTTGCTTCATGTACTTGGATATCCCTTTCTTTCTCTAAGTTGGAGAAGTTTTCTGCAATTATTTCACCAAAAAAGGCCTTCTAATCCATTCTTTCTTTCCATGCCTTCAGGAACTCCTAAAACCCGTATGTTGGGTCATTTGATACTTTCCCATAAATCTGACACTGTTTTTTTTTTTCCAATTTTTCTTCTTTTTTTTTTTTTTTTTTTTTTGTTGGTATGACTGTAAAATTTCCAGAGATTTGTCTTCTAACTCTGATAATCTTTCTTCTGCCTCATGGAGTCTATTTTTTATGCCTTTCCACTGCATTTTTTATTTGATCTATTGAATTCTTCATTTCCACTATTTCATTTTGATTTGTGTTTAAAATCTCAAAATCATGGGAAAAAATTTCATTCATGTCATATATAGATTTCTTTAATTCCTGGATTTGCTTCTGATTACTTCTGGGTAATCCTACAATCAATTTTTAAAATTCCATTTCCAGCATTTCTTCAATCTCTTAATCTTCACATTCTAATGTTGAAGTGTTATTTGTTTCTTTGGGGCCCTCATGTTGTCTTCCTTATTCTTGTATCTTGAATTTCTACATTTATTTTTAGGCATATGTGGAGATACTTCTTGCTTTTTTCCCCCCATAATGGCTTTTATCTTTGGACTCTGCCTCTGTGGCTTAGTGGAGTGTCTGCTCTTTCAGTGAATATCCAGAGGTATGTGCTAGGTGTGGTCAGAGAGCTCTGTTCAGTGCTCCAGAGTGAGGGGAATGTCCACGGTGACACCCAAGTTGCATGTGGTAAATCTCCTCTTTTTTTATTTTTAATCAGAGGGGAGGTTTGATCAGCTCTTTTGATGTAGTCACACTCATCTCCTCTCCTCCAAGGAGACCAGTGCTGGTGTGCCAGCCCCATTGGGTACCATATTCATCTGTCCTGCCACAGGAACCACACAAAGGATCCATGGAGTCCTTGGTGTGAGCATAGATCCCACAGCAATGACTCTCACCAGGGAATCAGGGAGCCCCGAGTGTGTGGTGCTGCCCCCTGTGATTGCCCAAAGACCCAGCCTCACCTTGCACTCTCACACACAGCCTCAGTGTTTTCACAGTCCTAACACACAAGGCTTCCACCGTCACGGGCACCCAGCTCCCTGTCAGTTCTCCCAGCCAGACTCAGGAGTCTGCTCTTGGCTGATTGCTGGGGACATGGATACGGTCTGGCCCAGCTGTTATGTATGTCCAAAATGGTGTCTGCCCTCTTGGCTATTTACAGGACGCCAGTGCCCGGTGGCCAGGGAGAGAGAAATGTTCCTCCCTTTTTCTCCTCTAATTTGGAAGATACACTGTTCCCCACGGGCTCCAAACCAGGCTCACACCAGTCTCTTCCTGCATCTTTAGCACCAGCGGCTTGGGCTGATGCAGTTTGGTCCTACTTCACTCTCCAAAGCTGGTGCTGAGGCTCTCGGCTGCTGGGTCCTGAGCGGTGCTCATCCACACCCTCCACGCACATCCACAGTGTCTGTTTAATTTGCATGGAATTTTCTCCCTCACTCTTCGCTGAGATTATACTGTCTACACTTTTTTTAACTATCTTCCCTTAGGCTAGAGCATTATGCTCCCTCCCTGTTTGGCCATATTGGCCATATTCTCATTGTGGTTTTAATTTGCATTTCCCTCATGGAACTGAACATTTTTTCATCCATTTGTTAGTCATTTGTATTTCTTCATTTGAGAAATGTCTGTTCATATCCTTTGCTGATTTCTTAATTTCATTGAGTTTTTGTTATTGTTGACTTTTTGAGTTCCTGTTGTATGCTTGATATTAACCCTTTGTCAAATGAATGGTTTACAAATATTCTCTCCCTTTCTGTTGCTAACCTCTTCAGCTTCTTGTTTTCTTTGCTACACAGAAGCTGCTTGAGTTGATCCAGTCCCATTTGTCTAGTTTTTCTTTCATTGCCTATGCTTTTGAGGTCTTAGCCAAAAGCTACCAAAATGATTTACAAGTAAAGTTTATTTTTGAAGCATTGACTCGCACAGATTTTTTTTTTAGTATTCTGAGAATTTCTTTATTCTTTTCTTAAAACTTACAGTAATGACAACAAAAGCAGAGTTCACATGCACCCTTGAGTTAGCATTGCTAAGATGTTGTATTTCTGAGTAAAGTTTAAACTCAGATGGGCACACTCTTCTCTTGCAGATGTCGTCTGCTGCTGAAAATGGAGATGCAGCACCTGGAAAACAAAATGAAGAAAAAACCTATAAAAAGGTGAGTGTTTTATTTTCTTTCTTTCACTTGGAAAGAGAAGCACTGAGTTATTTCTTGGTCAGATAGTGTGGCTGTGGGCTTCTACTTCCTCCAAAGCTGCTGTAAGTTGCTCTCTGTTTCCTTTTGGCTCTGTAAATACCAGAAGCCTGGTGACTTAAATGACACTTCTGTATTATCTTGGAGTTCTGTAGGTCACAAGACTAACCTGGGCCTCCCTGGGCTGAGATCCGGGTGCCACATTCCTTCCTGGGAGTCCAGGGGGAAAGTCTGTCACCTTGTGAGTGTCCAGCTCCTGCATGCTGCCTGGGTTCTCTATGCCATGGCTCCCTGCCATTTCAAAGCCAGCAGTGGCCCTGGAGTCTCTCTAAGGCTCTGTTACTCTTTAAAGGACCTATGTGATTACTTAGTGCCTTCCTGGATAATCCAGAAGAATTTCTTTTATTCACCTGATTAGCAACCATAATCCCCTTAACCCCTTCTTGCCCTGTAACATCGTTTGATCTCAGTTCCCAAGGATTAGGGTGTGGGCTTCATTGGAAGACATTTTTCTGTGTGGTAGCATGATAGGGAATATTAGAGGAAGGTGGTTATTTGAAGACCCTAATTCCTAAGAAGCGGGCTCTGTGCATATGTAGTGTACTGTGGCTGGTGTTAGAATCCTTTATTTTTCTTACTTCTCTTCAGTAGACTTTTAAAAATCTACTTTTGCCTCCTTTACCTTATATAAACTTCTAAGATTTTGTGTCTTCTGCCCATTTAACAAAAATCACTTTTTCCAGCCTTTCCAGTGTGTCTTACCCTACCACTCTTTGATTTTTTTAGATTCTTGGCTCCTAGCAACCATACTAATGTTCAGAAACATTACTGGGTAAAGCATGTTCCTAGGCACCATTACTCCTTATTATAAATTGACTATACATTTTAGCTTTTAAAATATTTTTTTCTTCTTGCCCTCTTTGGAGTAGGAGGTTTGGAAATTGAAGTTTTATTATACTTGAAGTTTCTATATTTCATTTTCCTTTTATTGTTTGGTGGATAGCTAGGGAGAAGCTTTGGCATGAAGTACATGGATCTTCTGGTTTGACCAGATTCTGGAACTGACACGAGGGACTTCCTATTCCATTTCCATGTAGGAGATGTTGCCCTTTTTCCTTGTATATCTTTTTTATCTGACTTTTCCAGCCAAACCTAGAAATATCAACAGGGTGATTGTCATTCAGAGTGATAAAGTGATTGGGGACAGTAGGGTGAGGTTGACTCCGAGGACTCACCTTGCACAGTGCACTGTTACTGATTTTTAGACACAAGTAAAACCGAATCCTGTTTTGTTTATCCGAAACTGCTTGTGAATTCAGCAGAGCAGGAGGCCAACACAGAGATGGTTCAGTTGCCAGCTGTTATTACTTCAGGTCACTTGTGGGCAGTGTTCAGGAATGACATGAAGATGTCCTGAGATTCTAGGCTGAATTCTGACCTGCAGGAGCTCTATGGTGATGCAGAAGTAGTAGAAAGAATATGACCAAGGCATCTTAGAGTTGCTAAGTGTGCCCTGACCCTGAATTTATTAAAGCAGGATTTCAGTAATATTTTAGATATGGTTCTGTGATTAATGTCACTTATTGGGTATTTGACTCAGCAAGGTTATAAAAACTATGAATGAGATTCTGTGGTATGAAATAATTCCAATCAATATAGCAGACTCTGGGAAGCTGAGGGAGCAACAGTGACAATAGTAACCCAACAGGTTTTTTTTAGTTTTGTTTTGTTTTTTGTAATGTGTGCTAATGATAGAAATCTTTACCATGATCTCTAATTTTAGAAAGGATACTCAGTGGAGGGAGAGAGATGTGGTCTCTGAGAAAAACAGCTACAAACACATAAACAATAAAACCAGCATAACACCTAGAGCTTTAATGCTCAATACATAAAACATTGGTGAACACAGCGAGAATGGATCATTTAAGAACATGTTGCTTTACTAAGAGTCCAGCGAATTACTCAGTTTAATTCTTCATTAAGCAGACTGGTCATCAGACTGGAGAAGGTATTAATGGTGGAGTCAGGAGAGGTGATAATAAGAAGCACGTTGGCTATTGTGAATATGTTTGTATCTCTATCCAGATAAAAGGACTTGACCTTAGTGTAGAGGAAACCCGTGAATGTGAACTTTGAATGAATTTGTGAGTGTAAAACATGGGAGATAAGCAGATGTTATCACTATTATCAAAAATGAAGGAAAGGTTGATTGTGGAATCTAGCTGGTAAGACAGTCATGGGACTCCACCATAATTTGAGCATTATTACTAAATAATATGGTTTATTTACATTTAGAGAAGAAATGCATGTCTTTCACAAACCTGGAGAAACTGAGCAAGATATAGTTGTTAACTCCATTTCCTATTGTGAAAGAATCATTAAATTAGTTAAAGATAAGGAGAGTGTTCAGATTGAACACAGGGGGCAGCACTGTGACATAGCAGGTAAAGCCACCCCCTGCAGTGCCAACATCCCATATAGGTGTTGGTTTGAGTCCCAGCTGCTCCACTTCCAATCCAGCTCTCTGCTATGGCCTGGGAAAGCAGTAGAAGATAGCCCAAGTCCTTGGGCCCCCTGCACCCATGTGGGAGACCCAGAACAAGCTCCTGGCTCCTGGCTTCGGATTGGCACAGCTCTAGCCATTGCAGCCAATTGGGAAGTAAACCAGTGCATGAAAGGCCTCTCTCTCTTCTCTCTCTCTCTCTCTCTCTCTCTCTCTCTCTCTGCCTTTCCTCCTCTCTCTGTGTAACTCTGACTTTCAAATAAATAAATAAATCTTAAAAAAAAAAAAAAGCGTCTGTCAGATTTTGTGGTACCCCTTCAGACAAGATGGAGAAATGTGAATTAAATATTGTGATTACTGTGTTTGCACATGGTTGGGTTACAGGTGCCAAAGAAAAGGGGTTTGGGCCAGCGCCGCGGCTCACTTGGCTAATCTTCCACCTGTGGCGCCGGCACCCCGGGTTCTAGTCCTGGTTGGGGTGCCGGATTCTGTCCCGGTTGCCCCTCTTCCAGGCCAGCTCTCTGCTGTGGCTGGGAAGGCAGTGGAGGATGGCCAGGTCCTTGAGCCCTGCACCTGCATGGGAGACCAGGATCCATGTGGCCCCTTGGGGGGTGAACCAACGGAAAGGGAAGACCTTTCTCTCTCTCTCTCTCTCTCTCTCTCTCTCTCTCTCTCACTCTGCCTGTTAAAAAAAAAAGCGGTTTTACTCTTTCTTCACTTGGTATTTAACAGCAGCATGTGTGAGTGGCTCACGCAATAGCATTTTGACCCAGGACCTTAGTGAAAGCATGCAAGCTGTACTTTGCAAACAACAAACTAAAAACGCACTGAAAATGTTAGCTAACAGAATGTGTGTCAGCAAAGCCATGATGTGTTTCATTAGCTGTGTCCCTTCACAGATACCTTGGAGTCAAATTTCCTTCCTGGTCCTGAAGCTCTGACTCTCAGGTGTGCACCTGTTTGAAGAGCTCTGTTCATGGTTGTGGTTTTGCTTCTGTCTCAAGCCAATCTGTGGATCCCAGGTTAATCAATCCCTGGTTGTGCTAAGAACAGAGAAGAAAACAAAGAGTTCATAAGGAACTCACGGTCCAGTGGGGGAGGCAAGATAGGAAAAGGCTTGTAGGTTTACAGTACTCTATAATGAGGTGATCAAAAGGAGAAAACAGCATGAGTTAGGGTTAACCAGCAGGCTTCAACTTTCCTTCTGTCCTGAGCTCCAGATCTATTGGACAGCTGCCAGCAACACTCAGCATCATGAGTGCTGTGACTTAGGGAACACTGAGTGTTCATGGAACAATTTTATACTCTCTGTGTCTATTATTTGCACATGGTTATTTAGGTTGGCTGCTTTTTGTTCTTCCACTTGACCATTTCCCTAATCCATTATCAGTTTTGGCAAGCCCAAAAAGAATGTTGAGAATCAGCAGTAATGTTAATGCCTTCAGCTAATGGCTCAAATAAGAAGTTTGCTTTTAGCTGTTTAAAACAAACATGTTGCCTACTAAGGTAGACATTTGTGGCTGCCTGGCTGTATTTGCACAGGAGGCACTTGCATTCTCAGTTAATTTATTGTCTTCTGCAAGAGTTACAAATGCAAAAGCCTACAGGGGCCAGGCAGATAATGAGAGTGAAATCACGAGGAGGACCTTGGTAGACTGGAGAATTAGTGCCTTCTTTGAAGAGGGCAGGTGGCACTCAGCCCAATTAACAGAACTATGCCTGAATGCTCACCTAGGACTGCCCGATCGCCTCATTTTTTTGGGAAACCAGAAATAGGGATTTTGATGTGTAATCTCCCAAGTTTCAAATGTCAACAGGTATTCAACTGATCTTTGCTAAACATCAGAATGCACTCTGGACAAAACACACCCATGGACCAGGCCTGCCCTTCCTGCAGTGGCCAATTTGCAATCTGTAACCCACTATTGGCTTAGGAAAGTGAGGTAGGGTAGAGAATACAAACAAAATACATGTAAGAACTTGTCTCTGCTTCCCATGACCTTACATTTTATTTAGGGGGAAAAAGTATGGATCCATGTGGGAAAAAGTCAATCTTACGAGTCCTAAAGAGCTTAAAACACATCATAGTCTTCTGGGACTTTCTCAGACTTGTTAGTTAGCAGAGCTCTTTGCTAGGACAAAAATGCATCATAGTTCATTTGTTTGCATCATGGCAGAAAATCCTGTGCCTGTAGAGACATTGCCTTCAGATTCACCTGCGCATTGTCTCAGTGTTGTGGAGTCTGGTGAGCCCAGGCAGAGAATCGGGTGAGTGGGGGGTGTTGGAGGAATAAGAGAGGCTGGCCTGAACAAAGCAAAGTGTCAGTGTTTAGGAACGGTCACTGGCGATTTTGGAAGTGAGGATTGGCTCTAAATGACAGTTTGGAAGTGTGGGCTGGCCAGCCTTGGTTGCTGGTTTGAGAGGTTTGAATCTTACATTCAAGGTCAGTGCCATCCAGGA